CTCGTCATTTGCGGGAAGTTTTAATTTTCTGCTACAATATGAAGAAATCTACGGCTGAGGCTCATCGAATGCTCTCAAATATTTATGGTGAGGCCGCTATTAGTGAAAGAACGTGTCGTGAGTGGTTTCAACGCTTCAAGAACGGTGATTTTGACGTCGAAGACCGGCATAGCGGTGGAAGAGAGGGTTTCGAAGATGCAGAATTGGAGGCATTACTTGATCAAGACTCGTGTCAAAATCAAGAAGAATTGGCACGATCATTGGGAGTGACTCAACAAGCCATTTCAAAACGCCTCAAAGTCATGGGAATGATTCAGAAGCAAGGAAATTGGGTGCCGTACGAGTTGAAGCCGAGAGATGTTGAACGGCGTTTGTTTGCTTGTGAAGCAGCTACTTGAAAGGCAAAGACGGAAGGGATTTCTGCATCGCATTGTGACTGGGGATGAAAAATGGATTCATTATGATAATCCCAAGCGCAGAAAATCATGGGGAGTTCCCGGCCATGCTTCCACATCGACGATTAAACCGAATATTCACGACTCCAAGGTCATGCTCTGTATTTGATGGGACCAGCTCGGCGTAGTGTATTATGAGCTGTTAAAATCAACTGAAACAATCACAGGCGATCAGTATCGAATGCAATTAGGATAAATATTAATATACTTGATTAATCGATAAACCACTAAAGTTTAAGATATGCATCAGCACTTTTAACACCAACATACCAAAAGTTAAATTTTTATTATATTTATTTAACTTTAATGTATGTATTCAATATTTGTGGTAAAATCTTTAGTGTGTGTATGTGTATATATATATATTTATATATATATATATATATATATATATATATATATATATATATATATATATATATATATATATATATAAATATATATATATACACATACACACACTAAAGATTTTACCACAAATATTGAATACATACATTAAAGTTAAATAAATATAATAAAAATTTAACTTTTGGTATGTTGGTGTTAAAAGTGCTGATGCATATCTTAAACTTTAGTGGTTTATCGATTAATCAAGTATATTAATATTTATCCTTTCATAATAACAAGATACTATTCTACAAAATCTACCTAATACTATTTTTTTATTTCAAATAATTTAGATAGAATATGCCATTTAATTCGAATTTTGCGATAGAACGGAATGCAGTGTTGTTTTGATTTATTGCCTTTACGTTTGTCAACAGAGCACCATTACAGGCCTGGCCGGCAATTTTTTTATTATTGTTCATGAAGTAAATAAACGATCAGTGTACCAAATTTCAGCTTTAATCATATGACATCAGTGCACTGGTTTTTTTTGGCGACTTTAACTGGACGCCCACGCTCAACCCACCCCGCGTAGATCGGCAGACAAGATTTATTTTACATTTCATACAGTTGTCAAGTGGTATGCAAAATTTGAGTTTTAAAATGACGTAAAAAAATATTCACTGCCTTCCGGACTAATAGTCAACACGCGCTGATAAGTTATTCTATTTGGCGGTAACGATCCCATTATTTAGGTCGATGTTCTCGGATTAGCCTTGAAACACGTTATGCATGCTCTCATTTTCTCCCGAGCAACAATGTGCCCGTTTAAAGACCGAAATCTCTCGCGAATTGATGATAGCAAGGCCTGCGAACCTGCATGAAGCATACGATGACAATACTATCGCTTGGACACTAACCTTGTAAATCGGCATCCCGTAGACAAGACAAGAATGTTTTTTTATTATAATTCAAAGTCGATCGTTGTAGTCTATCCTGAAAATTCCTTCTCTATCTACGAGCTTCCATCTACGGGCTCAGGTTTATAAGAGAACTGCTCTTGTTTAAATTTTTTAATATTGATAAGCTATCGAACTCGCGATCCGGAGACTTACTCTTCAATTTTATAATAAATCGTCAACACTACGCCAACATTCGTTCAATCTTAGTCAAAGAGGGAAAACTTGCCCAAAATTGTTTCGATTATAGAATTGGAGGCGAATTGAGAAACGAAAATTCGTCTTTCAAGTCTTTCCTCGGATCGTATAATTTCGGAATCTTGCTCAGACAGCTCATCTGTGCGAGTCAGTTGTTGTAACTCCCTCGCACATTTTGAAAGCCATAGTGAATCCAATTATCACAATAAATTCGTATTCAAGCTATCAAGAGTCATGCCGCGCGAAATCAAATCCGCGGGATTCTCCCTCCCAATGACTGCTTGATAAGATAGATTAAATAGATTTTACTAATTCTATTGAAAACGAAGGCTTTCTGTCGACTTGCCTTTCCCTTCTTATCCACGCGAAAACAATTAAAGAATCTCTTTATGCATAAACTTTATGAACCTTGATAGTTAATGATTCCAAGACAACTCGAATTAAATCGACCAGTACTATCGCTCCGCATAATTCCAATCGCAGAACCATCATTCTCTTAACACATTAAATGCTACGCCGGTTCCTACGGACCGGCACTAGACTTTCCATTTACGCCATATCAGCCTAATAGTAAGATATGACAAGAATTCGTCTGCTTTAGGAATCTTTGTGCGCATGCGTGAAGTCGTGAAGTGCCGTAGCAGCTCGATCCAATGATAGAACAAACGAAGTGATACGAGTATCTTTGAGACTTCTTTTGTACATCTTAGTGACCGATTGTCCCAAAGTAGGAGGGATAGTCTCAAATTTTAACACTTTGTTCCGCTTTACAACGCGTAATTTTTTGTCCTAAATTAAGGCTATATTGAATTGTTCCTCCTTAAGTATAAAATAATAAGTAAAAATAATATAACTTTCAATTAATGTGTGAAGAACTCTATTTATGATTTTTTATTTAAAAATCCAGATGTTATTTGTAAAATACATTCAGTAGAAAAGTAGAAAAATTCGATTAAAGGCCTTACAGTACCATGAAATTTATACGTCTGTGAGGCTGCTCAGCGTTTGCTCAATAAGTATGTGCTAATAATTCTTGCCATCTCCCATCACTGCACCAGCCCTTACAGACCGACGCTCAATTCTTTATTTAGATTAGAGCTCGGCAAAATTTGCACTTCTCGGCCCATTTTCGATTTGTCTGATGTAAGGCTTTGCCTTCCGCTATTCCCCTCGCCTCTCGCCCCACGCTCAGTCCAAATATCGTTCGATGTTTAGGAGCGTATGACGCTCATAGACATGAGATCCATTCGCTTTGGGTACTCATGCTGTAAACTTCATTCTATTTTTTTTTCGTTTATTACATAACTAAGATAGAATGAAGCAACGCGTAAGATTGAGCGTTTATGCGTTGCTTAATTTTATCTTAGTTATGTAATGAACGAAAAAAAAAAAGATAGAATGAAGTTTACAGCGTAAGCGCCCAAAACGAGTGGACTTCATGTCTATGAGCGTTATACGCTTCTAAACGTCGAGTGATATTTGGACTGAGCGGGGAGCGAGAGGTGAGGAGAATAGCGGAAGGCGGAACCAAGTCGGAAATCGGCCGAGAAGTGCAAATTTTGCCGAGCCCTGGTTATACCGCCGCACCGGTCTTGCGTACCGGAGGATGAACATTTCATTTACGTCGTCAGACCTTGAAGAATTTAAAGTAATAAGTGGAGAATATAAATATAAGCGCGTGAGTTTCTCCAGTTGCATGGTATTGTGAGACGTAAACAGAAAGTAAAACAAAATATGCTCAGCATTTAATGTGATAACTGGGACGCGCGACTTAGCACACAACAATCTCAATACAGCTCGCTTCTCGCCATCAATCGCTTGTATATAAACATACGTCCCGTGCGCTCGCTCTGAGGCATCGCAAAATGCATGTAAGTTAATGTATGAATCTTGCTATCCGATGACTCGTCAATTCGCACTGCACTGATTCCGGCCACATCCGAAACATTCTCACCATCGTAAATCCGATAGCAACCTATCATCCTAACCGAAATTTAATTGCCAAGTTGCATGATTATTATGGCCTTGATAACCAATGAATTAGAAAACTCGCCAATCCTAACGAATCAAATAATTTGGAAATGGATGATAATATATCATGTTTCGTCTCCGCATTAGGCATAGCCCGCGATTCAAATTGCAATTTATCGTCGCTCGGCTGCCACGTTTTCACAATATTTCGCTCGTTTGTTATAGTTTGAACATCAATTGTATTGTTAAAATCTTTTTCATCGAACACTTCGGTCCATTCGAATTCAAATTGCCCCAACTTCAACAATCTTGTCAATTCGTCGGTTAATAATATTGTCTCATCGATACTATCTACTCCCGTCAAAACGTCTATTTATCATCTATATATAAATCCCGAAGTACAACTTCGCGATGTTTGCGAATGATACTGATTCTCCGTCTCGCTGTTGTCTAATGTTTCGTATCGCTAAAAAAAGGGGCGCACGATTGCCCGTAGGTTACGGTATTTAACAATATTCCTTTATTTCTTCGTCTGAAAAACGCCATTAAATACGCTAATAATGTCGATCGCACTTATTAACGAAAATCTATTATATACATTTTTTGTAAATCATGATCGGATGGAAGTTATTATGGATATATGTATGGGAATTGAATTAGTAACTGTAGAATTGTTTTGATATATGCAGACATAATAGAATTGTTCGCGTCGCATACTCCAACATGCTTCAACATAGCTCCTATTCACTCGAAAGAGCGCGTTTGAGTAAGTAGAAGCTACGGTTGGAGGAAGTGGAAGCATATTGGAGCATGCGACGCAAACAAACCTACTGTTTGTGATATATTTTCTAACTACTCCAAGAACTACTCTTTTTTGTTTAAAGAGTAGTCATTGAATCCTTTTATCAAGATTTTATGTTCCTATTCTTGTGCACCAATTACCGCGCTGTACTCTCATTTGCCATATATTCTTTAATGTTTTTTTCAATTTTGAGTCTTTAATAAATGTTTTTTTATTGGAATATAATGTATAATAATACGAAAACGTATAACAGAATATTTATTCGAACATTGTTGAATCGAAGCATACCTGTGGCTGACCATATGCTTGCATGGAATCATGTTGTTGATGATGTTGCTGCTGCTGCTGCTGCTGCTGCTGCTGTTGCTGCTGCTGTTGCTGCTGCTGTTGCTGCTGCTGCTGCTGCTGATGCTGCTGATGCTGCTGCTGATGCTGCTGCTGATGCGATTGAGGATGAATAGTTGGTATGTCAAAGTCTTCGTCACCGAAACTTGGCGTGTGAAACGTCTAAACAAACAAATTAAAGAAAATAAAAATTTACGTTTTTCTTATTACAATAATAAAAAGTTTTTGCAATACCGTTTATTCAGATACGGTAAACGATAAGGTCAAGTTATCTTCTTCTTAAATAACTAATTAAGAAAAGGTTAACATAACTTTAGCGTTCACGGTATTTGAATTCACGTTATTGCAAAAACTCCCTATTACTTTTATAATTTACGTGACTTTTTATCGTCATGTATGTAAAACAATTGGAAGAACGGTGAAGATAAAAAGTTTCAGAGAAAGATCGTTTTAACCCATTGCACGCACAGTATCCCACATATGTGACATCTTTTTAACCTCAGTTTTTTATGTTTTTCATAAATAATACAGTTTTTAACATATTACTACAATGAAAACATTATTAGTGTTTAGAACATCAATTGTCATAAAAAAAATCATGGAAACATTCCTATTATTAATGAAATGTACTTTATAAATAAACAAAAAACTGAAAAATTCATCCTTTTTTAACAATATATATAAATGTGATTGTGACTAATCAACAATAGCTAATTAGCCAAAAATGAAGTCTGAGAGGTTTTTTTGAGTCACTGATTACAAATTTGAAGTCAAAATTAAAAAATTAAAAAATGGCGGATCCAAAATGACAGACAAGAAAGCGAAAAATTGCTTGTTCCAATGAAACTTGTTACTCGGGGATTTTCAGGGACGCTGATTATGAATCTGGCCTCAGATTTTCAAAATTCAAAGTAACGGATCCAAGATGGCGGACAAAAAAATTAAAAAATTAGTTCTGGGGTTGTAAAATGGGGTCAAGTAGGTTTTTTGGATCTTATTGCGAATTTGAAATCAAAATTAAAAAATTAAAATTACTCGACCCTATTTTACAGTCCAAAAATAATTTTTTAATTTTTTGAATTTTGAAAATCTGAAGCCAAATTTGTAATCAATGACCTTGAAAACCCTCGAGTAACAAATTTCAAACTGAATTCTACGTAAAGAAAAATGTATGCTTTAAAGGGTTAAAGAAAAGAAAGAGGTCAATGTGGAAATAAAATTGAAAAATCTATTTTTCAATGCACCAACGGTAGATGGTAAATAATAATACAACAAGAGTCAAAGCCTGTAACTGTTGAAGTGAGATCTTAGATGTTTAAATAATTTCATGAATTTATTGACTACTTGTGTAATCATTTGAACTGCGCACCGAATTGATGTTTCGGATTTAGAAATGCAACTGAACTACTGTAGTAACAAGCAATTTAATAATTTATCAATCACACATCCTATTAAAGAAATGTTAATGTATCGAAAACCTGTAAATAAATTTATTGCGAAAAACTGGGAGTCGAACCTGGATCTCTAGCATTTCGTTTTTAAAGTAAACTAGAAAGTCGTTTTTAAAGCAGAAAATTTATTTTAAAGCTGAGAATTTTGGTTCTCGTAAATCTCCAGATCAGGGGACCCCCCCCCCTCAAATGACCTTAACTCTGACATATGTTGTGGAATCTAAAATTTTAATTTATTAATCGTTAATTTTTTTTTAATTTTTGAAAAATTTTTTTTTTTTAAGATTTCAGTCTATATTGTAATTAACTTCTGGAAGCAGTCGGAAGTATTAGGTGTTGGAATTAATTCGTAGCGTTTTACAAGTGATGGGAAGTACTTTCATTAATGTATTTTTTAATGCTCATGTGAAATAAATAACATTCTTTCATTAAAAACGCTACGAATTAATTCCAACACCTAATATATATATTAAAAAGAGAGAGAAAGAGAGAGAGAGAGAGAGATTTTTAAGCTTTTTACATTTTTTCTTTAAATTTTTAAAATTCTTTTTTTTTAATTTTAACACATATAAAAAATAAGAGCATAAAAATCACAGCACAAGTTATAGTTTGTGATATATTTATAATTATTATTACATTAATTAAAACATTAAACGTTTCGGCCACAATCTGACCATCTTCAGTAATTCAATAATATTCTTAAAACGCAGAGTTACATCTAGTTGACATTAAATTCAACAGTCGAGAGTTGTAATTAAATAAACATGTTCTTATGTATGTGAAGATGCTTCATGCAGTAATGTTACATCGTCAATTGTCATATCAAGAAAAGTGTAGAACAAGAATTTCCAGATTCTAAATAAAATTGTATATATTAAAATCTTCTAGTCGGAATATAAAGAAATAGAATCATTACCTGTTTTACAGCAAAAAAACCAAACGATGAATTTTAATTTTAATTTTTTTATCTAAGCTTTCAATTAAAAAAAAATGTTTTGCTTTTAAAATGTTTTTATTTAATATATTTTTTAAATTGTATTTTTATTCATTAATTTTAATTATTTGCTCTTAGTTAATTTAGAAATTAAATGAAAATGTGTAGTTAGGACATAACATTAGTTATACAACTACAATTTAATAGGACATTCATGTGACATCGCTTCATGTTGCTCGTAGTTCTGTTCCATCAAATGTGCGTTCTGTAATACTATGTATTTAAAATTTGTTAGTATTAAGAAGGAGGTTCCGCAATATAGGATCGAAACGTCTATTGTATTACTCGAATAAATGTATTATATGTGTACATCTTGTGTTTGGCTTTTATAGAATTTTCTTTGATTTATTTCGTTAAAGTTTATTATTTTCTTTAATTAGTTTTAACTCTTATTGTTATTCATATACATTCTTAATAAATCGTTTATTATTATTGCAAGTAATGTTATATAATTTAAAATTTTCTTAGCAATTTATTCTTCTTCACAAAGAAAAAGGAAAATAAATTTACTGTGGCGTACGTGGTAGGGAGAATAAAAGTTTTGAAATTGATTTAAAAGCGTCAGGAATTTTTCCTTTGAAGAAACATGCTTAATTATCGATCGTCAGTTTAGTTATGATACATTCCATTTACCCCTTTCTTTTACTATTACACTAATTTACAACAAAAAATTATTTTGAACCGGACTACATTTCTCTTATAGATTTTTGGATACTGAAAATAATGCCACAAGCAAAAAAATTCTAGTTCGTTAGATTTTCAAAGTAATTGAGGTTTAAAATATAAAAATAATTTTTTGGGCGACATTTGTAATTTTTTGTTATAAAGAAGGTTAACATTATCTCGAAATTTTGATCAGAAATTATAAATATATTGTCCATCCCCTATAGAAAGCATTTTTTTTTAGAGATTGTTTTTAGCCATGTTATGAAAAATTAAATATAGAAGCTACTTCGAATATAGGATCTCCTACAGTATTATGTGTATGCGGATAAATTTTTGAGATAACATTTTAATAATTTGAATCTTTTATGCACATTTTTATATCTTAATACTTTTATGCGCAGTATAATGATACTAATCAATTACTAAAAATACATAGTTGTTTAAAAAAAAATTATACAATTTGTAATATGCAATATGCATCTTTTTTATAAAATCTCTTTCTCTTCCCCCCCCCCCTCTCCTTCCCCTTCTCTCTCTTTTTCCCTTTCTCTTTGTACACTTGTCGAACAATTTCCGGACATTTAAAATTATATAAAAGGAACTTAAAATTTCACAAGATTCAGATCACTATACATTGATAAAAAAAATAAAAAAGCATTTTAAAGCTTAAAACTTGTATTTTAGCATGCTTTCGATAGTTTTTCGAAAACTGTTTATCTTTATAATTTTTGTATTATAAATCACAAATATCACATTTTAGTGTTTCTTAAAATTACGTACAATACATTTAATAGTGCGCAGTTTAATAAGTTTTTTTTTCCCCCAAAAAAGATCAATACTTTTACAAAACAGAGATTTATCTACAAAATTTTTTTAAAATTTTTTATAAATTTTCTTGACTGAATTACGCAACGTTGAAACTAAACCTGCATAGTTCATAACCAACATTAAAATTCGGTGAAATATCACAAAAAATTAAAGAAACATTTAAAAACTCGAAGTTTATACTTGAACAAGCTTTTGATCATTTTTAAATTTAATTCTAGAGAATTGAGAAGATAAAAAATTTTTACCTTTCACCGTTGGTTATAGTAATGCAGGTTTAGCTTCAATGTTGCGTAATTCTGTCAAAAAAATTCATAAAAAAATTTTTGAAAAAACATTTTGTAGGTAAATCTTTGTACTGTTTTTCAAAAATATTGAACTTTTTGAAAAAAAACTTTTTATCAACCAGATCAACCTGCACACCATTAAATGTACGTAATTTTAAGAAATATAATAATGTAATATTTGTTAAGATACAGAACTGTGAAGATAAAATTTTTTGAAAAGCGACCAAAAGCATACTAAAGTATAAGTTTCAAGTTTTAAAATGCTCTTTTATTTTTCTTGTATCTGCAATGATTTTTTACCGAGTTACGGTGACCTAAATATTATGCAATTTTAAGTTCTAGGTCCGAAAATTTTCTGACGGTTCTGTATGTGCATGTGCGTGTACCGGTATGCGTGCGTGCGTGCGTGCGTGCATGGTGCGTACGCGTGTGTTATTGTTGTTTTGAAATGATTTTAGCTCCTATCTTCATTTCTTCATCAAATTGCTAAAAGAAACGCTATTAAAGTAAAAGAAATGTATTTTATAGGGGATGACATCCATACCTTCTGATCGAAATCAAGAGACATGGTAGTGTCTCGTGTGAAGTACAGGGTTGGCCATATTCGACGGAAAGATGTTTTTTTTTTTCAATCATGGGAAATGTCGTTACTCGATCTAACATCTCTGTCAAAAGTTACAGTGTTGCCAGATCTTTCCGTCGAATATGGCCAACCCTGTATATGCGCTCATATTGGGCGCAGAAAATACTACAGTGTATATTTGCGTCATCGAGTTGAAGGAAACACTATTAAAAAACGGCTAAGCTAAACTACGAAATTTTTAATAGACTTAATCGAGTCAGTTTAGAATCCCATTACGTAATGAATATGTCCTTATTCTTTTTTTATGATAAATATTAAGGAAAATATTTCAATTTTTATGTAAAAGTGGGGTAAAA